GAAAGGTTGAGGAGCTCAGAGTAAACTCATTTGGATGCATTAAATACACCATGGTTCCTATATGAGCCTAACTTCTTTTGTGGGTTGTGTGCTGGAAGGAGCAGGCGAACAAAATTACTTAATAACTTTTAGTCATCTGGGATTTCTGAATTTATCGGGAAGGACTCCCTGTTCAGAGAGAAGGCATTGAATTTTCAGCCCAAACTCYGGCTCCAGTGTAAGCAGCTTCCACAAGGGCCGAACTTATATTTCTTCTCTTTTTACCTTGTAATTTCTTGAACCAGCCCCTTACACAGTTGTGTACACAAGGGCTCCAATCATACAGCAAAATATTAATAATAATAACAATAATAATAATCTGCAGTGTTCATCTGCCATGTTTTCATGTCATGACATGAAAACTCCCATCTATGATTATCTGTATGAGACAGAGGGGCATGTTTAGACTCAGATGTCTGTTGGCACCTGACACAGGTTGCCCAGGGGCTGGGGCTGCAGAACATATCACACACCACCTCCGTGGGTCTGACTCAATCCCGCGAGAGCTGGTGTGCCAGCCTATAACAACTCATACAAACTACTGGGTTATTCTAGGTTTCATTGAAGTCTAAAAACTGGCAAGGATATGATCTTCTGAGCTCAGTTATCATTTCCTTTTCTGGAGGAACATAGGATTAGAAGCACAAGACTGGATGAGAGGGCAGCCAAGTATCTAGCCTTTCATGTTGTCTTTGAAAATGTCTAGCACCAAACTCTATAAAGACATTACAAATTCTCCAAAGGGCTGAGTCTGAGGCCCTGCAGTACTTCTTCCTGACCTTTAAAATTTAGACTTGGTTTTAAGCTCTGAAACATTAAAGCTTGTAAAACTTCCAAAATATTTAAGTGTATCTTTTTTCAATCATTCCTATGGCATCCATAGCTATTTTTTGTTGCTGGTACAGACATCGTCACATAATTACATGGAAAAAATGGAGATACAGCTGCAAAGCATCCYCATGTTTCTGAGGATCAAATTAAATTTGTTGTTGATTTTTTTGTCTGAAAAAAGTGTGTGCATGTGTGTGTATATATATATTAATATATATTTTAAAGCCATTGCTCAGCAACATGGATGTTTTTTACACCCACAAAATTTACTATACGCAATTCAGAACTGGCAATTTTTCACTGGCTCCTTTAATAAACAATACTTCTCTCACACTTTTCATCCAATGAAGGAAAATCACCTAAAAACTCCATTTAATTAACCTTTACAGCCCCCTTGTGAGCTTGGCTTTATTATCTCTATTTCACAAACGGTCACATTAAAACACAAAGAGATTAAGTGACTTCCCTCCAAGTAAAACTACATAGCAGGTCAATGGCAGAGTTTGGAACAGAGCCCCAATCTCTGGGGTCCCAGTCCTATGTTTTAAGTGCTACACACCTTCCCTTCTTAAACGGGGGAAGATTCAGATCATTATTTTTTATTTTATCGTACCTAAGCCATTACTATCCAGGATAAACCTCTGAAAAGCACCTAAAAAAACCACTGTGCAATTCAAGCATCTAAAAGAGCACCTAAGAAGGAGAAACAAGCTCTTTCATTTTGTTTAAGGGCTGTACACAAATGTCTCTGGTGGAAAATAAGGAGTCTTTAAGAATGATGTGTGACTTCTAGTGATGGAGCCTGGGTTAGCGAGGGTATTTATTTTTCCCTTCATTAAGAAACAACTTATCATTCCAGTAAAGGAGCTGTTAATGAGTTTGTTCACACTCGCTGAGAAATGACTGCAGGATACTCCTCAGAGAACCTACTCCGAATGCATACATAAAGCAGCCAGAGCTCTAGGCATAACCAACAGCCTGCCAAGGGGAAGTGCTTCTGGGGTTTTGCCTTGCTGCTTGTTTGTCTCTCTGTTTGTTCTTCCTCTCCCTCCAGGTCTGGGAGGAAGCTGGCAGATTTGGGATGCGCAGGATGGGGTGTGCATTCCCAAACCAGTGCAAGGCTTGCACAGGGGCAGGTGCACCCGTCTGAAACCACTGATGACCCCATCATCTGATGGGAGGAAGGGCTCTGTCCACCTATGGAAGAGCTGGAGCTCATCTCCTAGGGGTCACATCGCCAGAGGATGAGGACACACAGGTTTCCCATCACGACTGCTGTGGTGGCCCCTCTTCCTCTGCATCAGATCCCTGTCCCCAACAGCCACTGAGTCCTGGGGTGGACAGTCCTACCTCCAGCTAGGAGAAGGCCACTGAGGTCACRTCCTAACAGCACACATGGGGATATGAATATTCACCCCCCTAGCCCAAGAGAGGAGGAGGGTGGCAGAGATGCTTTCTCCCGCACATGCTTTCAGTGCAGCCTCAGGCTACTGGCTGGGAGCCAATGCAGCCCTGTAATGGGCAAAGTTTGGGATTCCCCAGTGGTGGAAAACATTCTCCTGGCACCATTTCAGACACTTACCCTTTTGACGYTGCAGTTTCTGAATGTGTGTTAGCACGTAATTAGGCTTTGCGATGCTGAAAGAGAACTGCTGAGCAAAAAGAGGGCAGTTTGCTGCCCCTCTGGGTGTCTCAGGGATGATCCCAGCATCTCTACTCACATCATCACTCCACTTCTAACAACTGTGTGCGTGAACTATATATATGTGTGTATAAATATAATCTAGYCTCACTGTCCACTTATTGTCCTCCTATTCATTTTGTCAGCTGTTTTGAGAAGTGTTTCCGATTCAACAACATGAGTAATTGCTGGGGGGGGGGGTAGTTGTTTGTTTGAAGAAATCTGGATAACAAATGGCAATGTTTGCTCTCCAGGCTCCACTCTTACCCTGAGAAGACCCACCCTGACCTCCAAAATGAAATCAGTAACTTCACTCCTCTTCATTTCCTCATCCTGTGTCTAAAGTCAGGGGAAGTGGGTTGCGACCTTTTGCACGTAATCTGACATACGGCACGCAGGGCCGGAAGGCAGAAAATCATTCCAACAAAAGGCCGGAGCTCTGGATTCAGTAAATTCAGGAAAGAGAGAGATAGGAAATGGCAGTAATGTCACCAATAGGCTAAGAGGATCTTGGCAGCATCTTGGGTGTGAAATACTAGGTCACTTCTAATAAGGACTGAGTGAAAAAGTTCAAATCACATCGAAACACATGACACTACTTATTGGAACAGCTTTGGAGGGCCCTAGGAAGGCACTTTTTTTTTTTTTCTTTTTTTTCTCTTCAGCAAAGCTAACCTCAAAGAAAAGTATCTTGTATTCTCTCCCATGGAAAATTCCCTTACAAGGTGCCCAGGCAGCTTGCCCTGCCTATCAGCCTGTGCCCAAATAAGTTTCTTTACCTGTTCCTCACTCTCTTGGCCAACCAAGGGCCAACTGGCCACCTTGCTCAACACCTGAAACATCTACATCAGCCACACGTATCTGCCATATCATTTCACAAGAGTGCCTAATGCTGTCTATATATATATATATATATATCTGTATGAATAGTGTTGCTTGTTATGAAAGGACCTCAAAATTGATACATTTCCCTTCAAACACGCAGTGATGTACAGAAATGATCTTCTTCCCTTTCTTTTTTACAGAGGGATATGAGAAGCATAGGTGCAAGTAGGACGTCTCTGAGGAAACAGAAGACTAAATTCCAGGTTCCTGGTGAGGTCCTGTAGGCCCAGTGAAGTGCTAATCATGTYCATTAGGTAGAAGAAAGGAAGAAAAGCTTTAGAAATGTGATAGGTAAAGGGCAATCCCCAGAAACGCCTCGAGGCTCCCTGTGCACAAAGCCCAGGTGTGTCCAGCTGCTCATGCCAGCAAGGTCTGCAGGACAGGCCCTCGACTCCTGTGATTTCTTCCTACTCTTGTTTCAGTTTGGACTGGAAACACCACAACAATACACTTTGGCAGCTCCTTGACTGAATCAGGAAGTGCAGTGGCAGACTGAAAGGAAAAAAAAAAATAAAAGGAAAAAATTCCCTGCCATACAAACATCCTCTTTTTTTTTTTTTTTTCCTTTGAGCCTTTAGAAACTGCTTGATATGAACCTGATTTGTTTTGTCAGTAAAGGGTTAAAGTTCTCACTTTCACAGAAATAGATGACTGCACTATTAAAAGCAATGACAGTTTTGTTATTACTGCCAATGAAAACAGGATCTAACTCTTCATCACCCATTTACTCTACCAATAATTCCACAGATTTTGAGAAAATATAGGTTCTTTTTGACTGTTACATGTTTTCCTACATTGTCCTTGGACCACATCTGCATCCTCTACCTGAATTAAAACAAACCCTCCTGTCTTTATCCTCCCTCTGACTTCATTCCCACCGACCATCTATTCAGCTGATCTCATTTAAGACCAAGTGTATTTTATTTCTTTTATGACTTTGTCTTCTGCAAGAAACTCCCAGGCCTTCCAACCTCATGCCACATGTGACATTCTGTCCCCATCAAATATCAGATCRTTCCTTCAAAATAAGAACTGGCACCGGGTCAAAGTCCTGAAGATGAAAGGAAGGGTTAAGTTTACTTTCAATATTGGAGGAGGGTTCGGAAATAAATGTCGAGGTTAAAAAGTCCAGATGGTAATTCTACTGTATCCCTGCTATAAACATGATTTGATTTATGAGAACCACTAATGGTATCTCAGTTTAGATCTGGATGGCTTTGCTTTCTCTCATCTGTAGCTTTAAATTCATCAGATTTTTTTTTCACTCCCACCATGAATCTTTCACTACAAAGAGATTCCCCTATCAAGAATTGGGGAGTTCTTTAAAACTCAGCAATTGATAAACGTTAACAATCCTAATCCATGCAAATTACTGTCTGATGCCTTTATTTATAATACCAAGCGGATGTGCTTATTCAAAGCAGTCTAAAGAGCTTTGACAAGTTCAGGCTTACAAAACTGTATCTCCTTTTGCTGTTTTCCCTCTCCTGTCCTTTGGGGATCAAACTGAATCAGTTTTCACTTTTTTTCTGACGTTGCGATTATTAGGTTTCTCAGTTTTGTCAGAAAAATCCATCAGAAATGTTTATCTCATGGGGCAAATAGCAATGGAACAGCATGTTTATCACTTCGAGGGCCATAATCTACAGGCAGCAGTGGTCCCAATCCGGTTTGTTTTAAAACACAGAGGCTGAAAAAGAAAAATGCCCATGTCTGAGATGTGTGATGGAGATGTGCAGAAGTGCATTAGCCCTGACATCCGTTTCTTTATATCTCTATATTTTGACTGTCAGTCTTTACATGTATATTGCCCCAGGTCTTTACAGTTTACTCCTTCCATTTACAAGAAAACAAAACAGTTGCCTTGAACCATTAATGCCTAAAGAAGAGTGGCTTTGCATGGAGGACTTTGGAGCACTCTGTGCCCCGGTGCAATTACACTAAGATGCAGGCTCCTTTGGGAGGCAGAGGTCACATTTAGGAACCAACGAGAAGAGTACTTTGAAGAGTGTCATCACGAATGGTATCTATATTATGGTATTCACTGCAGCTGCACATCTGGGTATCTGATCTGTGTTTGAGACACTTAAATAAACGTGCTTTTTTAAGGCTACTCAATCAGATTAATAACTAGATCAATGTTTATAATATATGATTTTCCTTCGTGTATGCCATGGAGACATAGCAAGTAGAGGACATAGTGGAAAATGGAGASTTTCTCAGGAATAGCCCAAGTGTCATGTGTTGGGCCAATGCTTAACAAAAGAATAACCATGTATCCAAGACATGTGTTTTACWCACATTTACAGATGCACTGATTGGCTTTGAATTGCTTGCGTCTCCAAAATCCTCAGTAATTTTCCTCCAAACCACCAGAATTTTCTGTAAACTTCTCTGAGAGAGCATGAGAGAAAGAGAGCAATTGAGCCACACAGAGCAGATAACAACAAATGTCCTCATTACATCAGTCACAAATACCATAATGATACGGCTACTGCAGAGAATAGGATAGGGTAAGTCCAAGGCAAATCGAACCATTTTAGCCAAGTCATCCTTACACAAATCTCTCATTGGGAAACAAGAGAAAACTCAACACCTGAACTGGAGTTTTCAGACAATCCAAACCTTCTGCTGCTTTTCAGGACATACAGTCACATTTGGCAATTCTCTGTCAAAATCTGCCCTTGTCTCCAGCTGTGGCACTGAGGTGCTCTGTGGTATTGAGTAAATCATCCAGTTTCATTATAGGGCTTGGTATATTACAGAGTATAGGTCTGCACACAAACTCCCGCCAAAATAATAAAAGGTGAGAAGTCAAAATCAATTTCATTAAGCTGGTACAAGTCAATATTTGGATGCTCTGTACTGGGAATGGAAGTGGATCAAAGCCAGCACCTAAAGTGTAGTTTTAAATGGACAAAATAAAAGTCATCAAAATAAGTAAATTGATTTTGGGAAGTTAAATCAATGTGTGTGTCTAGTACAACTTACACACCTAGCTAACTTGCTGTAAGATATATGCTTACACTCACTAAGTATTGCTATTATTACATGAATGTTTCAAAAAACACTGATTTTTGACTGAAGGTAAGTTCTGAGGTGTCCAGGCTGAGATTAACTAACACAAAGGTCRTGTCTGCACTCAAAGACATTCTGGTTTCTTTTATTTGGCACACAACTTCACACAGCTCTGTGAAACTTTCTTGTTTTAGCCTGGCTGAAACCTCTTCTTCATTGACTTATACTGAGCTGGAACAATTCAGCTTTAGCATGTTGTAAGATCCACAGTGCTTTTGTACTGGTTGACCTAAACCAGATTGAAATTAACACTCATTTAAATTAGTGCAGTTCTGTGTGGAATCACTGATGGAACTGATTCAGTGTRTGTTTTCTTTAAATGGACATTTTAAGCCTTTTTGGTTGCAGTCTGGGACGTCTACAGGAGACATAAGGATCAGCTCTATCCATATCACCTATATTTTCCCTGATCCATGCCGGGTATTTGCAGAAATAAATGGAAAGATGTTTTTCCCATATGTGCATGAACTCTGAACTCCTAGAGTTCAAGTGGGTTCAGTCGTTCTCCTCAAACTGTCATTCTAGTCCTAATTAGTACATGGTGCCGTGAGCAATTTAAATGGAATATATTAATAGAGGAGAATTCAGAGGAGGGAAAAAAGACACCCGCCCCCATACCCCCGCCTGCAAAAACCCTTAAATAAACAGGGTATTTCTTCAGGATGCCTCACACCCTTACCACCTCCCCCTTTCCCTTAACAATAAGGACCGAGGGTGGGAGACAGCGACGGTCCAGATGATATCTGGAAGGCAGGGTTTCCCACAGGAGCACATAGCTGCAGACTCCCACTGCTTCCAAGGAGGACTAGAGGGGGGAGAGGCGGGGGAAAAGATGCTGAAACTGAGCCATGATGGTTCAGGGAAGCGCTGTTTTATTTAAACCCTCAAATGGCTTGACATGCCCCTGGTACTTTCACTGCCTAATTATAAATGAAAGGAAAACGGCAAAAGAATCCCCTCTTGTTGACCATCTCCCACTTAACAAGGCAGCACATGTCGCTGGCTCTACCTTTTTAGCTCTGTCCTTGCTTTTATCCTTCTGCAATTTAATCCTAACTCAATTATATTATTACAGCGTGTCACTTTGAGTCACTTTCCCCCTTATTGGCATATGGCTCTTTTCGGTTTCGCTGTTAATTCTTTTTCCAGTGGACTTGTTTAAAACGTATTCATTTTCTGCTTAGGCTTGGCGTTATTCACGCATCACATTTCTGCAATGCCTGGCTAACTTCCTTGGGAGGAGAACCGGAGACGGGGATCTTGGCGCGTCGCATATATTTGCTAGAGTTTCCACACCGAATTGTCAAAACACAAACTCGGTGGCAGAAAAGGTGAGCATCGTGCCCCGACTGTCAGACACGCGGATGGGAGGCTGCCCTCCGCTGGGTCTACAGCAGAGCCCTGGGCTAGTGTGATGAGGAAAGCTGGTGAATACTGAAAGCTATTTTCTATACATATCTCCATTTTTTGCCCCCTCTTTTAGAAAAAAAAAAAAACCAAACCAACCAACTTTCAAATGCATTCACTCAGATGTTAATGGCTTTTTGTGTTTCTTCCCCAGGTTGCTTTGAGCAGAGGTACTTCCGAATGCAATGGTCCCTMAGCTTCTGGCTTCCTGGGGGATATTCCAACACTTAAGACTTTTAAGAGTTTACAGGGTGGTCTTCAGAAGAGACCTCTTGCAAGCTGCCCATCCATGCAAACTGTCTTGAAATATGGATATGGAGCACTTGACACACGATAAAACAAATGGGTCACAGAAGTCACTACCAGGGGAATTTGCATGTGAAAAAGCATTCTGTGACATTTCATGGGCAGGAAAAGAGGACTGTTTTTTTTTTTTTAAATATGTACAGTTTCCCCTGGTCCACTAATAAAAGGAGGAAAGGCAAATGCAGTGCTGTGTTAGCCCCAAACCTTGCAAGAGGTTTTCCCAAAAGTGTGTTTACCCTTGGTAACGTACTGCAATCACGATTCTAGAACAATAACTATTCTTTGGCATAAAAGCTAACCTTTTCCATCACCTTGGTGTCTATATTCTTCTTCTGGATTGTCTTTTCATCTRTTGAGTTTGGAGATGGAATAAGCTAACTAAGAAAAGCATGGGTAAATATCTAAACAGGCAAGTCCGGAGGGGTATTTCCTGCATTTTGTTTGTTTTTGTGGTTGCTGTTGTTTCTCCCTGCGGGGGAAACCACCACCACCAACTCTGATCTCTCTTTTCTAACACTTCACTTAGATGCAGGCAGAGAAACACAGGTGCACCAATGAACGCATCCTCGGCAACATCTCTTTACCATAGGGGATGCACTGAAAAAAAGGACCTCAGGACTTCTGATAATAATTTTGTGAGCTTCAGATAGCAAGATTCAAAGCGTATGAGGACACAATTGWTTGCTTTATCCCTTACATTTTCCTTCCCTTCTATTATTTGGCAGGGTTAGCTGTAGATACATTACTTTGCTCTGTAGCTGTTCTGTAGTTACTCTGTGGTTAGYAGTAAAGATAATGTGGTGTTTTATAAAGAAATCATGTCCGTTTGGTAGCTGACTTTGCTATTTCTTCTCTGTCTTCAGACCTGATTTGGGATAAGCAACAGCTAATTCTCCTTTCTCTTTCAGGATCCTAACCATCATATTTAATTYCCCAAATACTTCAATTAACTAGTCTGTCAGAGCTTATATTTTGAGTCTGTTTATTCTTCCTCCTCCAGTCCCTTTTTTAGCTTCATGTAGACTAGCTGTCCCTTCATGGCAGAGAGCTGTGCATGCTCCATAAAATTTCCTTAGAAGATAGACTTACCAATTAATYACAGGAATCACCAACGGGGTGGGCAGGAAAGTCTTGATAAATTTGATGACCTAGAAGTATAAATATAGGACAACTATTGTTGTTTCTGTTGGTTTTTAACAGAGGTGAACATTTACTTCTCATGCCAAACTACCTACTATACTGTTCAATACATTTTTGAGAAACAAATAAAGAAATAAAGCTTTGAAATAGACAGCCCTTAATGACTGTTGAACAAATAAGCAGGAAAAACAACAACCCTGGAAAGCAACTTATGGGAAGAAAGCACGAAGAGGAAGTGAAACCTAAAAACAGTTACATTTGAAATGACTTRGAAGAAACATATGCTCTCCTGCAGCAGATTTTTCAACCTCGTAGGAAATATGCTGCTGAAATGAGAATAGGTTGATGAAAGGATGGGTTTGTTTTCTGTGCAATTTCCTGTATGTTTGCATGTATTTCCCTACTCACTCTATGAAAGTCTTTACCTTAATGACTATGGTAAAGGTATGTAAGTTGGGACACCTATGTTTCCTTTTCTTTTTTGGGGGGGACAGTTTCACTACACATTTACATTGAGGACTCAGTTTATCTTCTTGTGCCTCTGATGTTCATGATAGGTACAAGAATGACTGGTCTTGTCCTASCGAGCCTTTAGTGTGAACCATTAGATAAGGTTATTGTGATATAATCCTTGAATTAATGCAAATGGTGGTTATTATTTCACAAGACGAGTAGCCCACAAAATGCCACTTTGCTATTTCTAGTGGCTGGCATTTGTTTAGCAACACAGACCACAATTCAGAGGAGGCTTTCCAATTCTGACTGGGTGGGATCAGTTTGACAGAAGCATCAGTATCAGGAGATCCTCTGCTAGGAAAAGAACTATCCCTCTGCACTCTCTTTGCCATTTACAGGAAGGATCAGTGCCAGCAATATGACTTTCATCAGCAATAAAAGAGAGAAGAAAAAAAAAAAAAAAAAAGAAGAGATTTACAAATGATTCTATAATGTCTCTGAAATTAAATTTAAAATAGCCATCACTGCCAAAACTTAGAGAAGGACTCGCAGCTTTTTTAACAGTGCCTACTACAATGTGGATTTATGATTGCCGGAATASTGCCTACTGTATAACAAGTGTAGTATTAAGTGCCATATTGGACTACCATATGGCTACTAACCTCAGAGGTTGGTAGCAACTATCAGTGTAGAAATTAGTGTGCAGAATGAGCCCGAGGATAAAACCAGTTATCACTCAAGCATGCTATATAATTGGCTGTAGCAAGAAACTAAAAAATGTCTCGGAAACCAGATGGATTTGAAATGTTCCATTATTCATAAACACTTTTTTCCCCCCCCCCTCTTCTGCAGCAATACTTGTTCCTTTCCCAAATATTCTGTTAAAAAGAATAATTACCATGCAGAAGCAAAAAGCGAGAAGGATGAAAGTCCTTGCTGTTGGGGTGGCCTCTGCGTGCTCTTTGGCCTCCCTGGCCTCCCTGC